CCAAATAAATCACACACAGAGGCTTATTCTTAATTATAAATGGCCGGTCTTAGCTTGGCTTGTTTCTTGTCAGCTTTTCTTAAATTAGCCTGTCTACCTTTTGCCTCTGGGCTTTTACTTTTCTCTTACTTTTGTAAATTTTACTTTCACTCTTACTCCATGGCTGGCTGTGTGGTAGGGTGGCTGGCCCCTGGAGTCCTCCTCTCCTTGTTCTCTTGCTCTTTCTTCTTCTCCTCCCAAACTACCCTTTCTCCTGCCTCACTGTTCAGCTCTTTATTAGACCATCAGGTGTTTTAGACAGGCAAAGTAACACAGCCTCACAGAGTTAAACAAATGTAACATGAAAGAATGTATCTTTGCATCATTAAACAAATGTTCCACAGCATCAACAAATGTAACACATCTTAACATTCTACAGTATTACACTGAGAATCAGAACCTTGTGAACTGAAAATAGTAGGTGAGTATTCATACCAGAAGGTGAAGGATCAGTCTTCAAACACAAGCAGCCACATCCCAGTTCAGGCTCATAAAGCCTTTGTCACCTATGGTTTGGGAAACAGTGAAGCTTTTTCAGCAGAGTAGAAAATATACTATTACCCTCCCTCTCTCCCTCCCTCCCTCCCTCCTCCCCTCCTCCTTCCCTTTACTCCCCTCTCTCCTCCTCCTTCCCTTCCCTCCTCCTTACCTCCCCTCCTCCCTCCCTCTCTCCCCTCCTCTCCTCCTTCCCCCCCTTTCCCCCTCTCTCCTTTCCTTTGTTCTTTCCTTCCATGATTTCTTGTTTCCTTTTTTTCTGGGCTTTTGAGCCAGGGCCTTACTATTTAGCCCAGGATGGCCTTGAACTTGGAATCTTTCTGCCTTAGTCTCCTAGTGCTGATATAAAAAGTGAGTGCTGGCCGGGCAGTGGTGGCGCACGCCTTTAATCCCAGCACTCGGAGGCAGAGGCAGGCGGGTCTCCATGAGTTTGAGGCCAGCCTGGTCTCCAAAGCGAGTTCCAGGAAAGGCACAAAGCTACACAGAGAAACCCTGTCTCAAAAAAACAAAAACAAAAAAATAATAATAAATAAATAAATAAAATAAATAAAATAAAAAGTGAGTACCACCATTGCATTGTTTTCCTCCATAATAAAAATGTGAATTCCATTGAGTCCCTGTTTATATGGTGGCAACATGCACACACGTGGGCACTCACTAAACACCAGCCCATCATGGGCAGGCTGTCGTGTGAACCACCAAGTCATACAGTAATTCTTGTTCAGCAACATGGCATCATATTTTGGATATAAAATACACCCAATCCAGCTGAAATCCCAAAGATGCAGTTATATTGTATAAGTAGAAGACTCACACTTCCAACAGGCACCCACAAAAGCACACATGAAGGGCCATTCTGAGGGAATCTCATTGGGAATGTAGAAGGGGGGGGGGAATGTGAAGTTGGATGAGGAGGACTTTTAGATTGAGGAGCACTCTCCCAAGACAGAGGACTAATAACATGTCACAGATTCAAGAAGAATGTATGAGTTCATTAATAATAAGCTAGTCCCCAGAAATATAGAAAAGCCATAATACTGGAATAAAAATACATTCAGAGATTTGGATGTATTGTGATCAAATATTAAACAGATAGAAAAACTACTGTCTTGCTGCATGGGAGGCCATGGGGAGACACATCCTTTATAGAAGTAATTAAAATGTATGTACTGGGTATAGGAGAACCAGAACTCCTAACACACCTACATCTGCCTCTCCTCTCTAAGGATGCAAGAGAAGCTGTAGAGCTGAGCTCATTTAAGCTAGGCACAGGGATCTGGGATAACAGAGATTAGATGGGTAACCATAAGAAGCTACGTGGACCAACTTACTGTAATGAATGGAAACATCAGAAAACCATCCAAGGCTCCTGGGGCCATAGGAATGTATGGAAATCGCTGGAACATAGTCCTGTCGGGGTGAAATAGGAAGAAGGATGTTCAACTATATAATCAAAAAATCAAAGTTGGAAATCATCGCAATACAGTTCAGATTCTTTGCGTAGGAATTATCATCTAATATCTGCAATGAATGAGCCCTGGTCCAGATTTGCCCGACTGTATGGTCTGGAGACCCAGTTGACAATCAGTCTCTGAATGCGTAAGTGGAATAGACGTGCATTGTTTTGGCATAATGCCTGTGCTAGACTCTCCGACTTCGGAATATGAAACTATTTAAAGGAGAAGGCCCAGGAGAAGCCAGCCAAAACCGTAAATCTAAACTAGTGTCTTCCTAGGATGACGTAAAAATTCCTACCATTCCTAAGGCATGCAACAGGCATGGTGGTCACTGTACCCTACTTACTTGACCAGAATTGCCATCGCCCTCAACAAACACGTGGTACCTGCAGGATGACACTGTGTCCTGACATTCCTGCTGAGGAATCATAGCTGCAGCGACTGTGCCCGATGTGATCCCCTCGCTCGAGCAGATTAGCAGGCTCAGGCTTGTGGTATGCCATACTATGCAGCTGTTTGTGTTCGTTAGTTGGAAATGCCAAAAGAGCTCAGACTGGGCCCTTTAAACAACAGTTTGCTTCCGAGTCCTGGGGCCTGAAAATCCACCGCCACGGTGCTTGCTTTGCTTGCTTTCGCCTGCTACCTCTCTCTTTGTCCAGCAGATGGAGATCTTCTCTCTGTGCTGTCCCACAGCTTTTCTCCATGAGTGTCCATCCTTCTTGGTCTCCTTCTCCTCCTCAATTACGTTTTATTTATTTGGCGTGTGTGTGTGTGTGTGTGTGTGTGTGTGTGTGTGTGTGTGTGTGTGTGTGTTGGTATGATTTGGTTTTCTCCTTTCACCGTGTGGGTCCTGGGAGGAAACTCAGGTTGTCATCCTTTATGGCAAATAGCTTTATACACTGACTCATCTTGCTTGTCTTCCTCCTCTTCTTGTAAAGATATTAAGGATGAGTGGGCAGGAGAAAAGGTCATTGTGGACACACAGGAAGCAGAGACTTCATATTGGATTAGAGCTCAGTCTCATAACCTCATTTTACCTTAATTATTTTTTAAAGGACCTATCTCCAGATATAGTCACATTCTATGAAGCATTAATCTAATTGATTTTTATCAAATAAAAAAAAACGGAGTCAGATATTGGGGTAAGAACCTGAAAGATAAGAGAACAGGGAGCAGTGGCCAGTTGCTTTCTGCCTCTCTCATTCTCCGTCCAAAAGGGCCAAGATCCTCTCTCAGCCCCGCCTTACCACTTCCTGTCTCTCCTCCTCACCCCCATCCCCACCTCCGGCCGCCGCCACCGCCCCCCCCACCCCCCCCCCACCACCCTCCCCACCCCTCGTTCCTCTATGGTCAACTAGTGGCTAGCTCTGCCCTCTGACTCCAAGCAAGCTTTACTTGTCAGAACACAATCAAAATACCACACAACAATTCTAAGGTACGGGTAATAAAGCATCCATGTGAATCTATCTTAGCCCTGCCCCCAACTCTAGTATGACATCATCTTAAGGGATATGTAATGACCTGCTTTAGAAATCACAGTCGGGGGTACTAGCGGTTGGTCCTTTAGCATAGAGACTTTGAGAAACACAACAAGAAGGTGGTCAGACATGGATGCTGACACTAAATTTTCCACCTGTCAAGGCAAAGACACATGACACATTTCTGATGTGGCACCATCATGTGACTTGGCCAACCAATTTGGTGATGTTGCCCACTTTTAAACACAAATAATGCTTGTATTTGAATGTGGCCATTTCTTTCTAACTCACAGAGTCCAGCCTAAAAAAAAAAAAATCTACTCTTAGGCTTATTAGGCATCTGATAATAATAATTCTCACTGGTTGAGAATCTCACACAATGCTGATGGAGATGCAGGAATGGACATGTGGCCATAGATCCACTGGTCCTACCAGAACCACATCTCCCCAAAATTGTCAGCTTTGATATGCTGAAAACAACGACAGTCCAGAAATGATCCTTCGGCAGGGCAGGAGGTTGTCTTGCATCTGTGCACACTCTAAGTCAACCACCGTATGGGAGCCGAGGTACCAAGCAGGAGAAATTAGGGAAGGTATGGTTCTAATTCTTCCAATTCTGTGGATCTAAAGGGAAGACTAACCCAGAGTCTACACGGAGTCGCATTAACTATAAGGCATTGCTGTCCACTGCCTACTTTTTCTTCATTATGATGAAAAACTAGACGGCAAGAAGGTCAGTCACCACGTTGGCAAGGGACACTCAAGTGACCCACTGATGGTAAATGGACAGAGAAGTCATGGGTGACGTAGCTGGCTGGAGAGAGGAAGTAAGGTGGCAGGCAGGGCACAGACAGGTATATAAGGCGTGAGTACACAGGAAGGAGCTCTCTTGGGCTGAGGATTTCCTAGTGGCAAGAACTTATGGCTGGCTTGTTCCATTCCTCTGATCTTTCAGCTTTCACCCCAATATCTGGCTCCAGGTTTTTTATTAATAAGACTTTTAGCAATTCCTGTTACACATGGGTCCTGAAAAGAGCATAATGGTAAGTCCTCCTTTTAGATGGGTCGTGTTGTGCACTTTAGGAAGAACTTGGAATCAGAACAGATGTCAGCTGATGACCAGAAGAACAGATCATAAAAAAATGGAGAGTACAAGTGTCAGGTGTGCTGCCCAAACACTGCTGTCTGCTTCCAATACATTCTATTTTACATAAATCCCACGGAAAAGTTGTAGTGTGTCTGTAATTAAATATGCTGGAGTATAAAATATAACTTGGATAAACTTTGTGATGACTAAGTAGTGATGAGAATTGAAAGCATCCCTTAAACATAAATGCTCTCATGAGTAGAACATTTTCATGGACTAGATCTGGGTCCATACATTCATACCTTGTGATATTTTAAACTTTGTGCTTACTTTTGGTGCCAAGTGACACCAGAACATCAGGACCTTGTGTTTGTCCCATCACCTTTGGGTAGAATGCCTACTCACAATGTTGGGTGCATCATGGCAGGAGTTCCGTGCACACTAGCCATTTCTATGCGGCACTGGAACAAGTTCCCTCTGCACAAAGTGACTGCAGAACACAAGCTATAGTACAACGAACTCTACCAGCTTTACCCTTAACTCTCGCGAGAACTAACATGTGGAGAAGCCCAAGGAAAGGTATGTTAGTGTGATGGTTGATTTTTAACTGTCAAGTTGACACAACCTAGGATCACCTGGGAAGTGAGTCTCACGGAAGAATTTACCAAATTGGGTTGACTCCTGGGCATGCTTATCAGGTAGGCATTTTGGTTTGGTTTTTGTTTGTTTGATTGATTTTTTTTTTAAGATTTATTTATTTATTATGTATACAGAAGAGGGTGCCAGATCTCATTACAGATGGTTGTGAGCCACCATGTGAGCTGGGAATTGAACTCAGGACCTCTGGAAGAGCAGTCAGTGCTCTTAACCTCTGAGCTATCTCTCTTGCCCCTGTTTGATTGATTTTTGACAAAGTTTTGCTGTATATCCCTGTCCTGTAACTCTCTATGTAGACCAAGCTGGCCTCAAACTCACAGAGATCCACCTGCCTCCACATCCTAAGTGCTAGGACTGAAGGTGTGAGCCACCATGCCAAGCAGGGAGTTTTGTACCTAGGCTAATTGAGGTGGAAGGACTCACCCTGAATGTGGGCAGCATTATTTCGTGGGTTGTGTCCTGAACTGCATAAGAGTGGAAAAAGTATGCTGAGCAACTAGGCATGCATGTATTCTCCCTCTGCTTTTACTGTGGGTGTAACGAATTGCTTCTGAGTCCTGCCTTGACTTCCCCACAATGATGGACTATCCTCTAGAATTATCAACTAAAATAATTAGTTTATTTTATTTTTTTCCCTTAAATTGCTTTCTGTCAGGGTATTTTTATCACAGCCACAGAAAGAAACTAGGGCAGCTGGAATAGACATAATTTAGTTAAATGGCTAATCATAGCAAATTTTGCAAAGCAACTAGCAAATAAAAATACTTCTAGTTCCCTCCTCCTCCCCAGGATGTACCTATATGAATCAGGGTCTCTTTGTCTGATTCTTTCCTGTGATCTAAGGAGGTATTTGTACTGGACATGAATGGAAGGTGTTGTAGGTTAGGGAAGCATCTGTTGTTGTCTCAGAAATGAAGTCTCCAGCAGAGTTGCTCCTGATAGTGTGGCATCTAAGGTGGAGTCTTCACATTTGTAATCTCTTCCTATTTTTGAGAGAATCTTCACATGAATCCTGCTTTCCCCCATGGGGATCAGTACTTGGTGAGCAGCCTCTCTTGCAGCTAGAAGTCAAGCATGTGGCCTAGACCTTGGCCCTGGGCACACCCTAGTGAGACTACTTCAGAGGTGAGCTAAGCTGTGTTCCCACCTTGCTGGTGTAGGTGGCAGCAGGAAGAACCAGTTGTAACAGCCAACAAGCTGCATCTGAGAGAGACATCTGCCATGCTGGCCATCCAATCTCTGCATTTCATGTCTGATGGAAGAGGCACCAGGGCTATCCCTTTCAGTCTATTATGTGATTTCTAGCATTCCTGGAAGTTTATTTTTGTATTTGTTTCATAACAATCTCAAGTGATGCCTAATCTGCTTTAAGAGATTCTAGTTCTGGTAGAACTAGCCAGACTAGATCTTGTCTGCAGCAAGGTTTGCATATGGTGTTATAACATACAAAAAGTGTTCACCCTGACTAATGATAAAAGAAAAACAAATCATGCCATTATTTCATCTATTATGTTGACAAAGACCAAGAATCTGATCTGTAGGAATTAACACAAGGAAGCAGGCATTATTTTTTTTTAATTTTTATAGATTTATTTAATTTATTTTCAGAGTATGAATCTTTTGTCAGTATGCAGGTATGTGCACCACATGAGTATTTGTTAGATTCCATGGAACTTGGGATGGTTGTGAGCCACCATGTGGTTGCTGAGAATTGAACCCAAGTCCTCTGGAAAAGCAGTCAGTGCTCTTAACGGCTGAGCCATCTCTCCAGCCCCTGGAAGCAGGCATTCTTATTGTTGATAAGAATGCAAAATGAAGCAAGTTTGAGGGGAGATAGTGTAGCAATATCTTCCTGAATTCAAAATACAACTATCATTTGGGAAAGAATTATTCCTATGATTATATTCTATGTGCATATTCATATAGCCCACTAAGTAAATGTACAATGGTTTAATTTTGAATTGTTTCTAAATTGAAGAGCATAAAAATCAATATAAACGCAGTCATTTGGGAACTGGTAAATAGACATTGAACAACCACAGAAAGGAGTGATATTTAGCTGTTTAAAAAGGCAAAGCTCTCCACGGGAATCAGTAGCCATATTGTCAAAGTGAAAACACAAATGTGGGGCAGGAAGCATGGCATGCCATCACCCGTGGGAAAATGATAAGCCCACAGACGTGTTTGTATTGACTTAGAATAATTCTGGAGGGAAAGCAGGTGAGAAGCAGATCCTTCTAATCTCAGGGAGGGGGCGCTGTGCGGGGGACATGTTCTTAGGGGATGGTAGCTTCTGAAAAATATGGGTCTATAGCTTTTAGCTTTCTTTCATTCATCTATGTAACAACTATGTCGTGGAACGTGGCATATCACGGCTAGCCAGATCCAATCTCAGCATTCAAGGAGCTGAAGGACGGATAGAGTGGTTAATTACAACATGTTGGGTTAAGAACTAGTCATTGGGATAGGAAAGATGGCTCAGTGGGTAAGAGCACTGGCTGCTCTTCCAGAGGACCTGAGTTCAATTCCCAGCAACTACATGGTGGCTCACAACCACCCATAGTGAGATCTGGTGCCATCTTCTTCTAGCTTGCAGACAGACAATCAGGCAGAACAATATAATATATACACACACGTATATATATGTATATATACACATATATATATAATCTTTAAAAAAAAGAACTAGTTATCTTAACTTTCTCTTGCAGTAACAAATATTGGAGGTAAATCAACTTAAAGGGAGAGGAGGCTTGTTTTGTTGTGTGGTTTCAGAAGTCTTAATCCATAGCCATGTGACTCTGGGGCTTTGGTCCTGAGTGGTTACAGAACATCCTGGCAGAAGCATCCGGTGGAGGAACGTGGTTATCTCACGGTGGCTGCAAAGCAGAGAGGAGCCTAGGTGAGGGGCTGAAGTACCAACACTTTTTAAAAGGACCCATCCCAAACCAAGTTCCTTCCATCAGCACCCACCTCCGGGATGTTCTACCACTTTCTAGTGACACCCGCTGGCTGGTTACCAAGTCACCAGTACATGGCCTTTCAGGGACGTTCTGGATACAAACTGTGGCATAAGCAACAACATGAGGGTATGCACATGATGCTGCGGAAGTCAGGGAAGCTGGTGGAAGAGGAAGGGTGGGTGATATTCTTTGAAGAAAAGGGTATACAGAAGGAGACCTCAGGGGAGAGATGGAGCAGCAGCAGGAGGAGAAGTGGGAGGAGGGGGAGGGGTAAGAGGAGGGGGGCAAGAGGAGGAGGAGCAAGAGGAGGAGGAGGAGATGATAATGGATGCTATCCATAGAGCAAAGGTTTGAGGGCAGGAAGTAGATTTCTGGGAATTCTAAGGCACAAGAGGTCAAGACTTTATATTTAGACTAAGAGATGCGTGGGAATGCATTCAGCTGCCACTAACAGACCACAAACAATTCTGTCTCCACACTTAACTACTACTGTATCAGGTCTGGACGGAGGCATCTTGGGTTGATGTAGGGGTGCGATGATAAGGCTGAAGATGCGGATTACTTCCTGCTTGTTCCTCTACTACTCATGAAAGCATCACCTCGACACCAGATGAGTGCGGATTTGTCCCGCCAGTCCTGACATCATGGCTTGGAGACCTCATCCCAGTGCACTGCTTGGCAGAATTCAGTTCCTCGTGGTGGCAGGACTGAGGCATCCAGAATGTAGAGGCAGCCCCTTCCAAGGCCATGCTCACAGTGTGACTGTTTTTCTGTTCCAGGCAAACGCAGTGACAGCTCTTGTGGAATATTAGTTTAAGGTTTGTTACATTTATTGATGCTGTGGAATATTTGTTTAATGATGCAAAGATGTGTTGCACTCTTTTATATTGCATTTGTTTAACTCTGTGAAGCTGGGTTACTTTGCCTGTCAGAAACAACTGATGGTCTAATAAAGAGCTGAACAGCCAATAGCAAGCCAGGAGAAAGGATAGGCAGGGCTGGCAGGCAGTGAGAATAAATGGGGAGGAGACTAGGAGTGAAGAAACAAGAGAGATCAAGGAGGACATCAGGGGCCAGCCTTCCAGCTACACAGCCAGGCACTCAGCTACACAGCTGTACAGCCAGCCACGGAGGAAGAGTGAAAGAAAGGTAGACAGAAATAGAGAAAAATAAAAGCCCAGAGGCAAAAGACAAATGGGATAATTTAAGAAAAGCTCATTAGAAACAAGCCAAGTTAAGGCCGGGCATTTATAATTAAGAACAAGCCTCCATGTGTGGTTTATTTGGGAGCTGGGTGGCAGGGCCCAAAGAGTAAAAACAACCAGCACACGGTTGTCTCTCCCCAGCCTATTTAAAGAAGGCATCAGATGTTACCTTATTTTCAGCTGTCAATTTCACCACGTTCCTCAACCTGCCCACACTTATGGGGAGGAATCTGACAGGTCACATATCCAGCGGCAGAGCTTGGGTCCTAGCATGGAAACTTGCTTGATTTTTGTTTATATTGTTTGCTTTGGGCTTGTTTGTTGTTTTACTAATGGTCATTGGTTAATTTTTTCATACTTTATAGATGCATAGTTACTATCTGATGTTTTCTCCAATAATTAAAAATTCTAGGGGCTGAGCGATCTCTCAGCCATTAAGAGCACTGATTGCTCTTCCAGAGGTCTTGACTTCAATTCCCAGCACCCACATGGTGGCTCACAACCATCTGTTGTGAGATCTGGTGCCCTCTTCTTGTGTGCAGGAATACATAATAAAGAAATCTTTTATTTTCAATGATGGGTAATTCCCATTCCCACTATCATTTTCATGTCTTCTTGAGACCCTGTCATACACATTCTATTCACTAACAGCTTATATGATAAAAAGAAATACAAAAATGAATTTCATGACATTTTCCAAGCACAAACAAAAATTATGTAAAAGAGAAAATATGCAGCTGGCGGTGGTGGTGCAAACCTTTAATCTGGGCACTCATCATCAAAGGAAGTCAGGACAGGAACTCAAGCAGGGCAGGAACCTGGAGGCAGGAGCTGATGCAGAGGCCACGGAGGCGTGCTGCTTACTGACTTGCTCCTCATGGCTTGCTCAGCCTGCTTTCTTATAGAACCCAGGACCACCAGCCCAGGGATGGCACCACCCACACAGGCTGGGCCTTCCCACATCAATCACTAATTAAGAAAATGCCTTATGGCTGGATCTTATGGAGGCATTTTCTCAATTGAGTCTTCTTTCTCTAGTTTGTGTCAAGCTAACAAAAAACCAGCCAGCACACATGGTAAGGTGTAAAATAAAATAAAATGTTTTCCCTACATGAATTTTCTAGCGAGTTAGAAAAAAAAAAGACAACACAATAAGCCAAGAATGTTATTTATAAAACATTTGCTGGTACTATCGAGAGTTCCATATTACTTGCAAAATAAGATAAAATCACAACAAACTGGGTAATAATGAAATATTTAAATTGAAATTCAAGGCAATAATAAAGCTCCAGTCTCAAGGCTGTAAATTATTAATCATCAAATTAATCTCACAGACAGCATGTGTTTGGAGTAGAGGGCTTGCGTTATTTATTGTGATGATATAAGTACTTCAAAATGCAGCGGCTCACTGTGCTCTGGGCTGGGAGCGTGGTCAGGGTTCCCCTGGCAATTCTTCCGGTAGAAGGAACATTAACTTCATGGTGCTCAGCTGAGGGCTGGCTTTCCTCGAGGGTCCCTCAGGAAGCTGCCACCTCACTGCTCTTTCCTTCTGCCTATCCATATGGAACACTTATCATTTAGGGCTATTTCAAAAGCCAGAACAGAGGCCAACATCCATCATTTGATCATTATTAGTACTTAGCCTATCATGACTCAGAACTGCAAGCTCTCACCAGAAACAGAAGCCCCGTTCCTCTTTTGGTTGCTGTGATAAGCCTGAAACAATAGGTTACAGGTAAATGGTTTTCTACAGCTCCTCTTGTCCAGAAAGGAATGTGGTTTTTACAGTCAGTCCTGGTGCCGATCAATGGACTTCCTCATTGTTCGGTGGCACCTGTGAGTTATGCTTCCTACCACTGTTAATGTCTCCTAGCTCACAGATTGTTCCTTTGTATGCAAAACTAGCCTTCTAGCCCTAGCCCCCTCTACTTCATCTGATCTGATTCTTCAGTGTCTAGTGTCAGAGGTGAGAGAGCCCAAGGGGCCTCTACTGAGCCCCAAGGCTAGAGAGGGTGACTGGATAGATGCCAGTAGCCAGAGACCTTTCTCCTCACTGCTTTCTTGCTGACAGTAAACTTCAAGGGCAAATGTCTCAGATGTGGCTTTGTACTCCACAGCTCCAGCTTTCAACTTCATTGTGTATACTGTGCATGTTCTTCATCAAAAGCTCTTGGTAAGCTGCCTCTTTGTCTAGAAAATAATACTTATCATTCCCTGGGATGGCAGGGGAGAGCGGCAGAATTACCAGGTTCCCAAGCATGCTTCTAAGAGAGGACCGGAGGGGCCAGAAAAATGGGTCAACAGCCATCAAGAACATTCCCCGAAATGTTCCCCAAGAGCACCGACTGGATCCTAATCTGATCCTGAAAACATAAACGGAATAAATCAGCTGTGGACTGCCTGCAGGAACGATATACCCATCTTACAGACGAGGATGCGCAGCCTGTTTTGCTAATGGATGGTTCACAGGACTAAGTGACTTACGGAGGAATCATGGATCAGAACGGGAGGTGACAAAGCTGTCACAGCTCATAGATATTCCTTATGGAAGTGGTGTCAAGGAGGAGCCATCAGACAAGGAATGTGATGGCCCTATGCTTATACCTTGACTAACTTTTAAAACCTATTCCCAATTGTGCCCAATTGATAGAGATGCCTATGGTTACTATAATCAGAATAGGTGGGCATTTGGGGGGAGGGAGTCTTTGCTAAATAAAAGGCAGCTGGAATAACTTTCACTTTTAAAAATCTGTGTTAAGCCAGGTGGTGGTGGCGCATACCTTTAATCCCAGCACATGGGAGGCAGAGGCAGGCGGATCTCTGTGAGTTCAAGGCCAGCCTTGCCTACAGAGCGAGATCCAGGAAAGGTGCAAAGCTACACAGAGAAACCCTGTCTCAAAAAACCAAAAAAAAAAAAAAACTGTTTTAAGAGGCTACAAGAAGCTACCCGGGGAGCTGCTTCCAACCATTTCAAGACACAAACAAGGGGGAAATAAATGCAAATAGGGAGAATTATACTGATTTGATAGATAACACAGCATTTTTATTTTTCCTTTGGAACATTGCTGTAGCACACTAAGAAGCTTTCAGAGTAGTAAAAAATGCCTCAGCGATGGGAATTTCAAATCAAGTTCGAGGGTTCTACTGGAACAGGTGAGTGTCCCGGTTTTGAGCATTACAACTCCCTACTACGTGATCCTGTCCCTGTCACTCTCCAGAGGAGACTTCTGTTGTCCTAATAGAGGCTAAATAACATGCTCCTCTGGAGAACTGGGCTTAGAAATTCAAGATTCATCCGATACTGAGAGACTGCATTTGTCTACAGGAAACTGTGAAGTTGCGCAGAAGCATGGACATCCCCCATTCTGAAATTCCTGGCACTCCTCACAAGAAGGTTTCTTGTTGTACAGACGTGGGGAACATCAGAAACAACCAAACCACTGCAGTTCTGATTTAACCTTTAAACCTGCTTCCCAAATTACTTCCGGTAGCTTTTGATCCCTGAAACAATGTAAGCCCCCACTCTGCTAAATGACCAAGGACTTCATGCACTAATCCTTGACCTTCTTTATAGATCTGTCAATAAAGCAAGGAGGGGTGTGTGTGTGTGTGGAGTTTCGCACAGGTCCTGAGAGCCGTAAACAGAATTATAATCCCAAGATTCTCAGTGGTAGCAAATCAAATGTTTTGCTAGCAATCGCATCACCTGAGTCCAGATAGTTCACAGTAGTAGGAGTATGTTTTCCTTCTTCGAGTATTCCTGTAGATAAAATCATTTACTGAATGCAGCTCAAAATATAAGTCATACATGCTGGCTATAGATGCCAGCCAGGGTCATATAGTGAGTCTCTCTCCAATATATGTACTGTCCAAATAATATATATTTATAATATATGTAATTATATATTATTTAATATATAGCTATATATCCATATACATTATTTGGACAGTAATGCCTCAGAACATGTTTTACTCTTGATTTGGACTCTGTAATTTCAGAAAGTCTACTTTAATTCAGTATGGAGATGATTTTACTGCTTAATTCTTCATCTATGAAGGACTCAGCATTTGACTCAGGGTTTCTGTTACAATGGGCTTATCAGGGTCTAAGACTCACTTCAATAAGCTTTCCTTCTGAGAAGAAACGGTGCCTTATCCAGGCTGTGACACCAGCAAAGGAAGTCTTCAGAAAAAATTAATATCATCCAACTTTATCTTCAGACATCGATGGAAGACACACATAAGATTCCTTGGACTTGCATGCAGTGTATTGAGGGCCGTCTGTCCCCAAGTTTGGACTAACTGGTCCACAAACTAAAAAGAACACACTGTCAACTTCTCTTCAGGAAATAAAACACAAGGCCCTTGATAAACATGAAAGCACATCGTAAAGTCCTCCGGTGTTAGGACTCCCTAACTCTAAATCCTTTGTATTGCCCGAGAATGAAACAAACAGGCCTGAGAAGTCCCCACATCCAAACACAGGCAGGAAAAACACCCAGCCTCACATGGGACAGATCTAAAAGAGCTAATTCAAATCTCCCACAGAGTCAGGACGGCACAACCATTTATCTCTTTGGTTGGCTAAATATTGGCTTTAGGATCTTGGTTTGGGATCCTGTCAGACTCTGGGTCCTATCTCCCTGCTGATTCTGGCGATAACATTTGTTGAGCCCCATGGTCTCTTAAGAGCCTTAAAGCTTGTCAGTAGCCTTTGGCTCAGCAAAAGATCCACCCCATCGCCTGCCAGTACTGACAAACAAAAGCTGTGGGGAGTGGCACTTTGTAAAAAAAAAAAAAAAAAAACCTATTAAAATTCCCCTTTGTTATCTGCAAGGGCCTGAACAGGTACTGGGGCAGAGAACTAGTTATAATCCGGTCACATTCTCAGATCACTCCAGAGCGGGAGACTTTATAACATAAGTAACAATTGGGGCCACAGTTTGGTACACCCCTAGGCCATGCCAACTCCTAAACATAGCCGTAGAACAGAAACTAAGCCATTTTTAATTTCCTTGAAATGCAAGCTCTAAACAAATACACTCCAGCTTTTTCTTTCTTGATAGTATGACGAAGTCGAAACAGCTAGTTTTGGACAAATGAGCTTGTAAAGCTCCATTTATTTCAAAAGGATACATGTTTTTAGGGCCCAACACAAGAGACATCACTAAATTTCTTCCTTTAAGCTCTGTAAAGTGTGCAGCCACATTGGCTTCTCACAGTCACAAACCGTTCTGTGTGTACAACACACTCTTGTTTTTTTTTTTTAAATGTGATGTGATTTTATCTGTACAGATCCTACAATTCTTATATCACCGCATGGTGGGTCTTGGAGTCACTCCTTTTCACCTGGCAACTCTCCTCCAAGAGAAAGGAGGTGCTTGTGACCTAGATCTGAGGGCTCCTGTGTGGTTTCTTTGAAGACACCCAGTGCTCAGCTTGAGAAAGTAGACAGGACCTCCGTCCTCTCATTCACCACACTAAGAGAGCACCAAAGCATTTGTGGTGGCCACGTCTCATTTATTAGGCAGGGAAAGGACAATTCTCAATAGAAAGGCCAGAAAAGCTGTACGGGGAAATGAGTCCATTATCTGGCTGTAAAAGATACCAAGCCTTTGAAAATCTGTAATGGAGACAAGGCCAAACCATGCAAGATAGACTTAAAATATAAAACTGTAACAAAGGTGAAGAGTCTTCCAAATGCTTCGCGAAACAAGACTTAATATTTCTTTCTCAACTTCTTTGGCTCAAAGGACAAAAAAGGACCACAGCAATTAACCTTGGGTTTCTCAAGTCACTGCTGCCGGTTGATAAACAGACAGATTCGACTGCCAGGAAAAAATGTCTCCCTAGCTAGGGTCGGCTCACTTGGAGGAGGGTGAATTTGAGATGGATTTTGTAAGGCTAATTGAGAGAGGTCAGTCGAGGTCAGGGCTGAGAAGGGCTTGCAATTAAACGCTCCCCAGGTGCTGGGAAGGGACTGCAGTTAGCACTGCTGGGCAGCTGACGGGTGTGAATTGGCAGCCATTGATCAGGAAATTTGGCTTTAGCTAGCCCACCCCAGACCCTGGGAAGGTTACAGTGTGTCAACGGGCCGGCCTCCGGGTCTCCCGAGACTTTGATGAGCGTGGCTTAGTTGTGATAAACATAGATTTTTTTTTTCTGACTGCAAATATAGTCATCCATTCAGGAAAGAATGAATACTCCTGGGTCACTTCCTTGGGCTAACAGACTATGGAAATAATGGTCATCAAGCAATTGGAATTTTCCTCTTATGCTAGAAGAAACTTGTCTCCTAGAAAGAGATTTTACTCAGTTTTGACAATGTGCCAGACCACCTTGCAGGAGACACTGGATCTGAGACAGGAGGTTTGGGGGAGCACCCCTTCAAAGGGACTGCTTAATTATGCAGGCCTCCTGCCTTGTATTTCACCCTAAATCTCGAGTCAGAACCTGAAGATGGACATGGGTGGGTCACTGGACCTCTCTGTTCCTCTTCCCAGTGTGATCCTAGTGACTACCCTTTCTCTGTTTAAGAGACCTACTGAGGGCAGGAAGCTTCGCCTACCTCTATGGGGCTACCAGGGCCCAGGTTCTGATTGTAACTCTGAAAACAGGAAGAGTCCATAGGTTTGCAGTCCATAGGCAAATGACGGTATAAGTCACTGTGTGTGTTACTTGTTTTATGGACAGTCCCTTTTAAACACAGGCCCTGGTACTCAGCAGATACCTCTTAATATTGACTAATGAGTTGTTTCATTCATGTTCTTTAATACTATAACTTATAGAAACTGGGGCTGGAGAGATGGCTCAGCGGTTAAGAGCACTGGCTGCTCTTCCAGAGGACCCAAGTTCAATTCCCAGCACCCACATGGCAGCTAACAACTGTCTGTAACTCCAGTTCCCTGGGATCTGATGTCTTCACACCAATGCACATTAAATAAAGTTAATAAATTATTTTAAAAAAAGAAACTATGTCTACCTATCCATATATATCTATATATATGTTGGGTTTTTTCAAAACAGGGTTTCTTTGTGTAGCCCTGGCTGTCCTAGAACTCACTCTGTAGACCAGGCCAGCCTTGAACTCACAGAGAACCACCTGCCTCTGCCATCCAAGTGCTGGGATTAAAGGCGTGCTCCACCACAGGCCAGCCAGAAGCCATATTCTCTCTTGAAGTTTTTTTTTTAGTAATATTAACCCAGGAACATGAATATTTTATATGCATATACCAATAAAAAAATTATTGGTGGCTCCATGGTCTCTTGTTCAGTAGTTCAGTCTGAGAGCAGTTTCTTTCTGCAAAAAGTGTCTATCCTTTTTGAGGAATCCTTTTTTATTTTTTTAATGATTAATGAATTTATGACTATCAAACCCAGCTTTTAAAAAAAAAAAATTAAGGGGGCATGCCACCGCAGAATGGCTGAGCCGTTAAGATCACTAGCTGCTCTTCGGGAAGACTACGGTTTGATTCTTAGCATCCATATGACTTACAATCATCTGTAACTCCAGTTCCAGAGGCTCCATTGCCCCCTTCTGGCCTGCATGGGCACTGGGAACACACATGATGCAAACATACATGTAGGCAAAACATCCACACACAAAATAAAAATAAAAAAGAAGAGCAAAGAGGGAGGAACACAGTTCCTGAGAAATATTTTAAATACACGCACACACGCACGCAAGCATGCACTCACGCATGCATGCACACACGCATTTGCTTCCTGTGGTTGCCATGCTGTGGTGGGAGGCTGAGGTAGAGGGATTGCTTGACCAGGGACTGGAGGACAACCTCAGCAATACAGCTGGGCGATGTCTAAAAAACAAACAAACAAACAACAAAAGAAACACACAAACAAAAAACCCTCCAAAAATAGACAGTCCCCCTCCCCCTTTAATCTTTATGGTGTCATAATATCCCAGAAAGACGTATGGGGCCAAGGTAGGAAGACAGAGAAAATTCGGGAAACATGGGAAGGAAAGGAGCCACTCATTTGGAGTCTGATGAAGCTGCTCCCCAGCCAGTAGTCAAGAACTCATCACAATTAACATTTGCTGGGAAGACTGCCCACACAGAGAAAATATTGTTCTCATATATACAGAAGAAAACCCCATGCACAGAGGGGGCTCCCCAAACTGGATTAGGCATAACCACACCCAAACACTGTTTTCAGAGAGATCCTTTATTAACCAGGGAAGAAAAGTTAAAGTGGCTGCTTTCTGACTCAGGCAGAACACAGCAGCAAACGACCTTGCAGGTGTGATTTTTAAGAAGAGAAAAAGGGTCGGGCGTCGGTGGCACACACCTTTAATCCCAGCACTCGGGAGGCAGAGGCAGGGGGGAATCTCTGTGAGTTCAAGGCCAGCCTGGTCTACAGAGTAAGATCCAGGACAGGCTCCAAAACTACACTACACAGAGAAACCCTGTCTCGAAATACCAAAGAGAGAGAGGGGGCGGCGGTGGTGGTGGTCTGTGTTAGAATGGACTATGATGCAGTGGTATATTTTGATTGGGCATCTTAATTAGGTGAACCAAAGGGGGCTTTTGATTGCTGGATGTCAATACTGTGATAGCTGGATCTTGGTAGGCAGCCTCAGGAGGAGGAATTGGCCAAATAAGGGAATAGACTTTGGGGGCTGGCTTTAGGGTCGTAATCTATGGTTTACGTGGGAGAGGGAAGGGGATGGGCAAGGCCTGCCAGAGCCATCTTTGCCACGCTTGGGCCTGTTAGGGCCCTTCACACACCTCAAATAAAAATGTAAAAATAAAGGCGTTGCGCCACCACTGCCTTTAATCCCAGCACTCGGGAGGCAGAGCCAGGCAGATCTTTGTGAGTTCAAGGCCAGCCTGGTCTAGAGAGCGAGATCCAGGAAAGGTGCAAAGCTACAACAGAGAAACCCTGTCTCGAAAAACCAAAATAAATAAATAAATAAATAAATAAAATGTAAAAATAGCAACGCATATTCCTTAACGCCTTAGTGTATACGGTCTTTCTCATTTTCCATGTACAAACCTTAAGTTTTTCAGGAATTTCACATGAAACCCCATTTATAGTCAAAGTGACTTAACTATCCAGTGTAAGCCCACGCTTTGATCTTATCAGACTCTAATTCCGCCCAAGGCGCCATTGAAGTCACCCTATAATTTCACCTACCAAAAAAAGCGGGATAAAAGAAGTTTCTTATCAGTCCTTTGAGCTGTAACTTGACAGCCATCAAAATGGTATGTATGGTTACCCTTAAGAGTCAGCTCTGAAATCGGCACACGTGGTCTTGGGTGTGTCTTATTCTTTGTATTAATCCTCATATTTAAATCGACCTTGAGAAAAATCCCTTTTTAATGAACTCCACCAGGGTTTTTTTTTTTTCACACTGTCTCATTCTGAAATTCCTTCCTGCAGTGTTACCTGAGTGGAGGTTCCCTAAAGGACAAAGGGCTGCTAAGCAAGGCTGCTGCGTTAGAATACAGGATCCCTCTCCCTGGACCAGCAAAAACAATCGTTTTTAATTATCTCAGTTTATTTGGTGGGAGAGTAAAAAATTCCAACCTCAGGTCCCTCAAGGGTAAGAGATAACATTGTATTCCACAATGTTTGACAAAGGTGAATGGCCTTCTGCAGTTTACATAGTATCCCCTTAACTTAGTTTTTGTTTCTTGAGCTCTTTGGCGCCAAGAAAACTGTTGCGGCCAGCAAACAAAAGGAGACACACTATGGGGCCTTGGGACTTGGAAATCTTAATCAGGAGGGAACTAGCTAATCCTTCAGAGATTGGGTTGGGGGAGGGTGTGTATGACAGATAGGGTGCTCTGAGGAACATGGTCAGGGCCACTGGATAGCGCCGCTGGTCTGGCAAAAATAAACCTTTGTATTATCCAAAGATGTACAGGAGAAGAAGTATCCCGTCTTCTTCACCTGTCTCATCAAAGTAAATAAAGCGAACCCATCCAATCGATGCAAAGAACAGTCTGTAGGGAGTTGCTACACGTCCCGGAGGTGATGGGCTAGACATCATCACCTGGCGAGCTCGATTAGCTAGCTGCCTCCCCAGCCTAGGTAAGCCGAGAGGGTGGGGGCGGGAGAGGATGCGGCGCCGGGGTTGCACAGCACATCCGGGCGCGCCGGCAGCGGGCTGAAAACTGCATAATTGATGAAGGGCCGGCGCAACGCTGGGTGCGCTGGGAGCGTCTCGGGGGGTGGAGGCCAGGGCGGTCGGGCCCCTCCCACTCCGCTTTTTCTCGCGTGTCCTGTCCCCGGCACTGGCAGTGGGCGCCCGGTAACCAGCAAGTGTGCGCGCAGGGACCAACGGAGACGGATCGCAGCAAGCCTAGGGCTCAACAGCGACCTCCAGGACCGACCCGCCCGCGCCATGCGCTCGCTCACTGGCCTGAGGGCGCTTGTGGCGCCGGGCTGTCCGCTCCTGCTTCTGTGCCTTCTGGCGGCGACGCGCCTGGATCGGGCAGAAGGCGATCCCGCAGGTGACTGGGGTCCAGGGGCCGGACCAGGGAGGGCTCTGGGCGCACGGGTAGGGGCGCAGTGGCGGCGATCCTCCAGCCGGAGGACATCCCTTGCCGCCCGCGCAGGGGCCGCGGGGATGCGGGCGCAGGCGGCTGCGGAGAGGAGCGGAGCGGAGGTGGCCTCTCATTGGCTGGGCGCGGGTTACCCTAGGAGGAAACGTGGGAGCAGGGGCGGCTCCAGGTCTGCCGGGTCTAGGGGTGATTCCGGCTGGTCCCAGTATAGCCCAGTTTGACCCCGGGAGCTGCTACTGGAACGGGGTCGGGGTTTTCCTACGAAGTGGGCTAATAAGAGTGCGTGGGTTCGTGCGGGGGGGATGCTGGGGACTTGGCTTCTGCTACTGTGGCATTCTGAGTCCACATTCCCCGAGGCCAACTCCCTTCACTAGAGGCCACAGCGAGGCCCTGGTATCACCTTTCCTTCTGGCAGGTGTCGGCTTTGAGGATGTTTTTTACAGCAGATGGTAAAAAAAAAAAAATCACCGCACCCAGCCAACTCGATCGAGCCCAGATAAAAAAATGATACGTGTGTCTTGTCTTTACACCATGGTCTTTATCAAAACAAAACATTTTTCGAGGGTGTTGGGTTGCCTGCTTAAGGCATGTCAACAGAAGGATTTATGTGAAAAACATGACCTAAAGTCAAGATCGAGTTTGCCGTCTTAGCTCACCTGTTTATACTTTGTGTTGCAAGCGATTCATGTAACCGGTTTCTCCGTGCAATTCCTGTGTCTGTGAAGGGCTGGCTCCCATTTAAGTCACCATTGATCACTCAAGCAGTTGTAAGACTGGCCCACAGGGAACGAAGTCCAGACATTCTTCTACAGAAGGTTTTCATCCATTATTATAGATTATTTTCATGAGCTTATAGCATGTAGATTGGTTGAATATACTATAAAGAAGGAAATTTATCAAAGGGACACACACACACAACTTGGATAAATCTTTTGGATTCCTCTAGTCTCGGGATTGTCTTGCTCCAACATCTGTTTTCCATCGGAAGACTTCCAAGTAATTGTCCAGGACATGACCCGCTCCCCCGCGCCCTTCCTAGGTACATCTGATTCTTCTGTCTTCATCCACCCGCTCTTTGCTTCTGAATACTCTTTTTCTAGTCCAGCTCTCTTTCCCTCCCCCTTTCCCTCCTCCCTTCCCTTCCCCTTTTCCTCAGTTCCGAGTGTAACTCTGGGCCTCTTGTGTGGAAGGAAACGGCCCCACCATGGAGCTACAAATCCAGCCTCAACTATCGTTCTGAGAATCAGCGCATTTTGGGTTAGTCCTGGAAGTTTTGGTTCTCTACTTCGAAGTAGGTGGAAATTATAGGAGAGCTTTAAAAAGACTGATACTCAGATCTTGCCCTGGGGAGGGGAAAAAAACAACCCTGATTTATGTAGCATAGACGTCAGTCTGGGGCGTAGTCGTTTTGAAAATTCTCGGTGTAAGTCAAAGCAGGCTAAAATCACATGAGAGGACCCTGAGGGTGTATTGTTAGATACTCTGTTGGCATCCAGTTGTAGTTAATGTACACACCTGGCTTCTAAAGGGAGGAAACTAGGAAGCAGATGAAGCTGTAAATAAATGTGCCGAATGACGGAGGGGAACATGGGACTTCCTCACAGCCTCCACTCAGGTGAAAGTTATGAAACAATAGGGCATTTGAAGAGCATGGCATCTGCATCTACTGTGAAGCTAACCTTCAAAGTGATCATACTTTTCAGCGATGAAGAGCACTGTCTGCTCTCCCAGAGGACCCAGTTCAATTTCCAACACCTACATGGTAGCTCACAACCATCTCTAACTACAATCCCAGGGGATCCTGTTTGGTGCCCTCTTCTGGCTTCTCTGGGCACAGACATAGATGTAGGCAAAACACTCACAGACACACACACAGAGCTTTCTAGATTCGGTATTAATTTGAATGAGATTCATCTTATTCTTTGCTGAAGAAATACTGCAAGGTTTACTGGATACTTTTTGTGTTTATACTTTGAACTACTTAGGGATAAATGTTCTGCTGAAAGAAGACTTTGGCGGCAAAAAAATTGGGTATAAGTTCCTATACTTGTATTCTGTAAGAGAAGTGTGCCAGCCACAGTACTATGCAGCATGTAGCCTGGTGAATTAGATTTTATTTTCCCTGATTTTTCGAAAGAGGAAGTTGGGGCTTCAGTTAAGCAATTGCCCGAGTACACGTAGTTTGGTGGTAGAGCAGAAAGCTTAGTCAGTCTGAGTCCACAGCCTGTTTTCTTAGACACAGCTCTCTCTGAGATAACTGGGTGTGCCCCCAAGAATTTAGAACTACCGACCAAGAGCATAGGGTGGTAGGAGCCGAAGGACACATGTACTTTTGAATCCCAGAATGAAGTCAGGGGTAAGGCATGAAGAGTGAGTTATTAGCTACTTCCAAGTTTTTTTTTTCCTAATTTTTATTGTTTTATTTATTTTGTATACACATATATATGTACATACATGTGTGCTCCTGCCTGGGTACTACAGTATGCTCCTGACCATCAGAGGACAACTTGAGAGCTGTTTTTCTTCTATCGTGTAGGTTCTAGGGATTGAACTCAGGTTGTCAGGCTTGACATTGGGTGCTGTTGCCTGCTAAGTCATCTCAGCAGCCCCTCACCCCCCTTTTTAATTAAATAAGAGATATAAAAATATCTTCGTAAAAGGAATATGATCTCGTGGAACAAACTGAGGGAATGGGTTATTTTTGAAACATTTTCAGTGATGTCATTTGGAACTAGCACCTTAACTTCCAAAGACATAGCTTATATGCTGGGTTTTTTTTTGTTTGTTTGTTTGTTTGTTTTTTTCGAGAAACCTTTGTGCCTTTCCTGGACCTCACTTTGGAGACCAGGCTGGCCTCGAACTCACAGAGAGATCCGCCTGGCTCTGCCTCCCTGAGTGCTGGGATTAAAGGCGTGCGCCACCACCGCCCGGTTTATATGCTGTTTTGATTGGCTCCCTTCCCGTCTAGCCCCTATGTTGCCTAGTAATGAGTATTTGTGGGAATGACTCTTACTTAAATACCCACATTTGCCCAATAATTATTCGTAGAAAACACTAGCAGTTTTTGTCTTTCTGCTATTTAAACTTGGGCTGGAGAGATGGCTCAGCAGTTAATTAAGCACAGACAGCTCTTCCTGAGGACACAGGTTCAATTCCCAGCAACCCACATGACAGCCTGTAACCACGGTTCCAGGGGGCCTGACACCCTTACACAGGCAAAAACACTAGTGCACATAAAAATAAATAATAATAATAATAGTAATAATAAAGAATGCTCTTTTAAAAAGGTATTTATACTGCTTAAATGAACAGGTTTTTTAGAAGCCCATCTTTAATTGGGCTATTTCTAATATTTCAAAATTTTGGTCATGTAAATGTTTGTTAAGAATAAGCTCACCAGGCTGTGGTGGAGCACGCCTTTAATCCCAGCACTTGGGAGGCAGAGGCAGGAGGATCTCTGTGAGTTTGAGGCCAGCCTGGGCTACAGAGTGAGTTCTAGGAAAGGCGCAAAGCTACATGGAGAAACCCTGTCTTGAAAAACCAAAAAACAAACAAACAAACAAACAAACAAACAAACAAACAAAAAAGTTCAGTTTCTAAAATGTCTAGTCTCTTTTAGCTGGGCGGTGGTGGCACACGCCTTTAATACCAGCACTCGGGAGGCAGAGGCAGGGGGATCTTTGTGAATTGAAGGCCAGCGAGATCCAGGAAAGGCACAAAGCTACACAGAGAAACCCTGTCTTGGAGAAACAAAAACAAAAAAAGAATAAGCTCAACAGACTTTCGTCCTGGTACTCCATCATCCTGCCTCAGCTCTTTTCTCTTTTTTTTCTGAGTGGTTGGAAGAGCGGAAGCAGGCCTGGACTGGTAGGTGGAGCTAGAGGCACAGAGATCCTGGTGAGGATGGCTTCTAAGTAAGAGGACAGATCAGGGTGGGAGGTTAGGCTTAACACGGTGAAGAAGATGCTCCTGCAAAGATTAGCTCACCCCTGGTCTCAGAGCTGAGCAAGGTGACGAGGGCGACTGAACAGGGACAGGTGGTATCTCACCCATGCTTCAGGACAGACCAGCACAGAAGGGCAGCTCTGGGGGTTGGTGGGACAGATGTGGCAGCTGCAGGGGGTTGTTGGTTATATACACAGGAACTGATCAGGTAAGGAAATCTATCAAGGAAAGCAGGGTGCAGGGTTTTCTGTTAGGGAAGGAAGAAAATAAAGATGGGCGGGAGAGGGGAAAACTTTTGTGATGTTATCAGTGTGAATTCATGATTATAAATGTTTCTTTGTGCCACATATGTGTATATATAATATATATATATATATATATATAATATGTAGGTATATATTATATATAATGTGCATATTGTATATGTGTGTACTTCTTGTCACAAGAATGTTGTATGTGTGTGTTTGAGTTTGCATACACATATTAGTATATTAGTAGTTCTGTCCACTCACTTCTTTGTTTCTTGTTTTTTTTTTTTTGTTTTGTTTTGTTTTGTTTTGTTTTTTTGGTTTTTCAAGACAGGGTTTCTATGTATCCCTGGCTATCCTGGAACTCACTCTGTAGACCAGGCTGGCCTCAAACTCAGAGATCCGCCTGCCTCTGCCTGCCTCCCAAGTGCTGGGACTAAAGATGCTTGCCACACTGCCTGGCACATGTCCACTGATTTCCAAGCAGTAAGTATATTTAACACCTAGGTGTTGGCTTCAGGCTCTATTCATTTTATTAAAATTGGAGAAATGGCTGGTTTCTCCAATGAGAGGAGAAGTGTGTAAACCTGGGACATCCTCCACCAGAGAACAGTAAAGTATTCAAAGAATGGTGAGCTACGTCAGAAAGAGTCAGGAGCCAGTTTAAGGGGTTCACACAGAACAGAGCTGGGAAAAACTGAGCATCCAAATAAAAAATAGTAATAGGTGGTGATGACGACGATTAGATGAGAAGGT